TGCTTATCATAATCCTGTTCTGCCATATCTAGCATGTCTACTTATTGACAAAGAGAAAATTTCCACAGAATTGCGCAAATGCTTCCTTAACTGATAAACACAGTCTACTGCGTTCAGTTACATTATCAAATGATTTTGTAAATTTGAATCCACAAATATGGTGTAAATGCTGAAAATTCACCCATCCGGATGCAAAAGCTACCATTGACTTGAAAACCACAACACCTGAATTATTGATCAACGGTTTCAAAACAGTTCCGTTTCCTTGTGTTCATACAACTCGGTAGTATTCGGAATAGGGACCGGAATCAGATAGCGCGAACTCGTATTCTGACTGATATCGACTGAATAGCGCAAAGTCAGGTAGAACCACGACGAGCTGTGGATACAGTTAATTCTACTCAGAAAATCATGCAAATATATATCACAAACAACAAACAATCATTGGTCAATTCTCCATTATCCAATCGATCAGGATATGGTTTAGTTGTTTGCTTTCTTGCATTCAGTCAACCCAGTTCGTGTCAATTGAGATCACAGAATTGGTCGGTTATTCCGTTTCTTGATTGGTTATCTGGAAGCTGGACCGTGGTGCGTGCGTGATCAGACAAAACACTGCACTACACCGGGCAATACAAATCGGATATATCCTATTCTCATCGATTTACGCATCGTTCTGTTTAGATCTCGGGTGCAGATGACTAATTTTTTAGCGATTGCATCTGACAAACAATTGATTAAGGCACCACCAAAACTTCCACAATGCCTTCAAATTACAATGGCAACAAATTCAGGGNTGATGAAAATTGCAAAAGATTGTACGATCTTCGGCGTAATAGTGACAATCGAAAAAGTAGTTGCTTATTCACTTACTATCGTTTCGCAGTGAGTGTAAAAGCTACAGACATCCAAATCCGTGTTCGAAAACATCGATCAATTCTCTCAAATGATGTGCACACAGACGGTCTGCTGCTGGATAAACAAACAACCGTGTCTACGAATTGTTATTACAGGTTTGAGAATAAAGTATGCATCAAGAGCAGAGATCAAACAAAATTTTCCGCTATTTCAACCATTCGTATGCAGTTTACAAATTTTGAAGACAGATAAATGTGGAGGACTTTTATTGTTCGCAAATACCCGTGGCGAATCAGCGTACAAATGTTCATTCTGACATTCGACAAGAACAATAGACAGTGCAGCATTCTTTGAACATCCTGGCTGATGATATTCAACTCGATTGATAACATTTAATTTAGAGCAATTAAAAAACAGAAATTGGTTCCTCAGTTAAGCAACAGACATAAGGCCTATATGGCGTGAATAAAGTGCAAGGCTGGAATCCAGCATAAATTGTGCAGGTCGTATTTGCGGTGCCGTAAATCAGGTATCATTTCGCCCAGGATGCCAAACTCCCGAAACCCGATCAAACAATGCCATTCAGGAATATCCACAGACGAGCCAAGTATTGTACCGTAGACATCAAAAGAAAACTGCACGATTTATGGGTAAAAACCTTGCAGATACAAACACGTGTGAGAGGTTGTATTTTGATGATAGGTTATCGGTTTTCCGTAAAAGTGCATTCCCCAGGACCAATCGTTTACCCGAGAATTGTTTCCTATCAGATTTGAAAATCGAATACAGAATCGGAGCTGATAAGTGCAACTCGGCCTTTCAGAAATGACAGCAAAACAAAAAGCTGCTGTTACACTTACCTTGTTGTTGTAGGATGATGGAATTCACATCAACCTTACCGTTGTGACTATGCTGGGACTCGAAACGGAAACATTCGGATGAGGAACAAAACCCTTTATTCCTGAACTACACAGTGAACAGATGTCACCCTGAAGAGATGGATATTTAAATTTAGAGTACATCTTCCTTGGGTCAGCCATTTTTATTTCCCAGACACTATGACTCGAAGTTCTACGGTTCGAATGGAGACAGAGAGGCAGGATGTATGCACAACTGATGAGTCCCAACAATGACGAAATAGCCATCAAGTGGTCTTTGTTAGTCATGACAAACAAATTGTGATCACAATGGAAGATTAACGAACCCGTAATGAATGAAACCCACGACTGTTACCATCTCCTATGTTAGCGCATTGTAACTCTGGATGGGATATGCTATTTTCAAGAAAAAAGGGAAACAACCTTATAAGGCAGAGCGACGTCAGTAAACCCTAACCTTGAGAAGCACTATCCTACTGAGTACGTTAGCCCGAATTTCGAATATTGTGACAAATTCCGGTGCTACTGATTCGGGTAGCACCCAACTTTAACAAACCTGCATCAAAATAACAGATAAAGTTACAGACATATGGCTAACAGTATTCCACTCACTCACCCACCCAGCTAGAAACATAGTTGATCTTGGTCGATGTGGATGAAAATCATACACTATTTTGAGGGGTAAAATGGAAGCTTCCATTTTTTCATACGTTATGACTAAACGTGAAAGCAGTGATGCGAAACAGCACACCGTGAAACGATGAACTCAGTATTACAAATTCAATCACGCACAAAACAAGAAGATGCGAAGTGGGGTTGTTCGTTTTCTATTGACAGCTGTGTAAATTATCAATCCACATTTATTTATCCTGCTGTCACGCACCAGGACACGTGTCTCATTCTTACTCCCTGTGAATTGTTTACAAAGATTGAGAGGAATTCAACGCGTATGACTAAATAAACACTCAAAGATGAATAAATATCCTACGTACTTCTGAGAATAAGCGGGTCGGATGAGAACTTCAGACCACACCTTGTTTGATGATGATTGAAAATGTGTGAGAAACTGCATTAATTATGCCGTTTTTCACAACAGAAAACAAAACAATGTAACCTAAAATAAACCTGGGCAATTCCGTTCCTTCCATACAGCTCCCGACAGCAATTATCTTATCATGCTCCGTGGCGTAAGTCAGCTTATTGTAAAACCCAAAAGACTATCATCATATTGACAATTTTCAACAAGAAAATCAGAATATACACCGATCTAGGAATAACCAAATCGCTCAAAAGTGGTGTGATATTGCGCACGAAAAACGTTTATCCTAAAAGTTGACTGTACATTTGTACACTCAATGGCCACAAGCAAAAACTTATTGTTACTAGCCATTCGTTTGACGAAAAACACTAGTCCTACTCAACGATCATAGAAATTCGAAGTACTTGTTTTACTCTGCGCACATTTCAAGGACACCGGGGTGTTGACCGTCGAGCGTGAAGCACCCGGGTAAAGGTTTCGGCCTCCAAGCCACTGGTTTTGGGTTCGGGTCCCGACAGGACTACCAACAAATTATGCACTGATGATGTGCGAGAACATAGACACTACGGCTGTATAGTGGTCGAACGAATTCCGGGGGAGAAAACAAAACACTTCGTGTCGTCCTCACTCGCAACTGCTACTACACAGAAAGTCCAGATTTGCATTTGTATGACCAGTTTTTCGTTAAACTTGTTCAATCAACCATGACAAATGGGCAGCACGGGTTCTAGTGAGCACATTCGAGGGAGATAGTGGAAAATGTGGTTTGATCGTATTCCGGTACTCCCACACATGTGTTCGGAATTCGGTTTGTCTGAAGCGTAGCTCGTAGCCGGAAGACCGTGATAATCATGCGCACCTTATTTCAACCTCTGAGAAATGATCAGTATCAGATTAGAAAAGAATCAGGCAATTCTTATTATTTTACCGCTAAACATGGGTCCAACATGATGACAAGAATAATTAATTATTATCGGTGGGGTGCAGAGGGGGGAGTGATGAAAGCGCGGACTACAATAGTAGGTAGGTATAAGGGTAACCAGAGGAGCATTTCCGTAATTTGATGGACGGGGTAGGGAGGGCCGATGATGATGAGGATGACAGTCAGTGAATATATATATATATATATATACATCATAAGGGACGATTGTCCGTAAAACCGGAAGGCAAGGAGACCAAAACGGGGGGTGAAATCAGAATCCCTCGTGCAGGAAAATGAGAAAAGATCAAAAAAGAACAAAACAACCGACGGCCCTGCCGAGCACCTAAATTCGGTGCGATTGCCGAAAAACAAGCTAATCAACAGGTGGTGTGCAGGTGGCGAAAACGATGGGAGCATACAATACAGCGGGGAGGGGCTGAGAGCCGTGTCAAAAGAAAACGGCACAACTTGTCTCGACAGAACACATTTGCCATTGAGAAAGTGAGGGAGAGAAAATAGGAAGCGCGGGGCCTAGGCCAACTGTGCTGATTAAAAGAAATAGTGGTTATGCGCACGAAAAAGGCATGTCACTAAAGGAGGAAAATGTGTATTTGTTCCAGTAAGCGTGTCTATACCTGTAAAATCAGGTAGGTTTGACTAGGTTTCATTCGATGCAGATGTTGGACATTGTATCCATCGATCGTTCGCATGAGAAGGACTGGCTTCAGCCCGAGTAGGTGGACTGGGTTGAGTCGGAGGAGAAGTGGGTTTGTTAACAGCTGGGAGTGGATGCAATTGGAAACGATTGGAATGGTTGGGGGGGTCACAGATATACCGATCACCGATAATACGACGTTTGCACAAACTGAGTCGATAATCAGGACAATCAAGGACCAACTGAACTCCACTAGCTAGGCAATCTTCCCGGAAGAACTGAAGGGCGACGGGTTGTGGTCGACCTGGACCACGTTCCAAAGTGAATTTGGCACGTACCGTACCGGAAGAGTCAACTGAACCCTGACGAGTGCCGCTACCTCCATCGTCCGTAGAGGGCGTTAGTGGGATTTGCCAAGTGGCCCGATTCAACTCGGGTATCCATGTACCAACTGGAAGACTTTGCATTCGATTAACTCCACCATCAACATTCAGATTAATGCGTAGATCCCCACGGCCGGCGCGACTGAACAAAGGGAAATCCAAAATGAAAATCAAATATTACTGATCGCAATTTACAATCGGAAAAAGAAAGTAGCTGTAGCACCGATTACGGCACACATCAAAAATTGGATAACAATGTAAACATACTTTGTAATTTGACCGTCGGTTGGCCACCGGGTAGTGTAATCCAGGCGGAAATCTGTCACCATTTGATCACAACGCCAGTAGGTGCACAGATGAATTGGTGGGGACAGAGCAGGATAAGGAGCACAATCCGAGCCTTGGGCGACATCGATCGTGTAGGATAAGATGTCCATTTTCAAATAAGACACTGTTTGGTTGCTTTGAGTGGCTTGACTAGGTCCGGTCTTGGACGGAGTGGTTTCGGTCAACAAGGCGACAAAACGCTCCATGAGAACCGGTCCCGGGATGGTAAGGACAAAGTCCATAGTTACGCCTGTACTAGGACTTGTCATAGGTACGGCACTCTCGAGCGGACAACCTCTGACAAAAGACAGAACAGATAAATTGTTTCTATTTAACCCGAGCGCCTGAAACCACAATAAGGTAAGTATATATTTGTAATTTGTATTATATTGTATATTTGTATCATATAATCTGATGCAGTATCGAGTTCATGGTAATAGTTTGCTTATACTGTGATGCAGGATACCAACAACTTAACGCCAGTTCAAAGTAATTGTGATGGACGTAGCCTCAACCGCACGAGAACTTTCATGGTTGTGCTTATCCAGAAGCAAGAAAAAAGGATAAACCCCATAGTCAAGATGACCCACCGTTCATTCAAAGATAATCGGTAACCTACGACATGCGAAATTCACAAGCAGATTTGGCCTCGCAGATTAAAGAAAAATGTCAGGCCCATGCAAACCTCCCCATGATGTGCCTTTACTTAGCAAAAGATGGAACGTCCTGAGAACTGTTCATCGTCTATGTATAAGACTGATTGTGGACGGAACTGCGAACAAATAACAGTGATGCTACGCAGCACACAGTCCATCCCCGATCTTTCATCGTTCTCGTCCTCTCAGTTTCTAGCATGTGACCTTCACCTTATTGAACAACGAACGACCAGCACTGATTTAACCAGCACGCTTGATAGTGTACAAGTGGGATCAACGGAAGTACATTTTCCGCTCTCCAATAAATGTTCTAAACGTAGCGTGGTCTCATCCGTTACAACAATGTCAACAAAACTAACAAGTTTAATTGATCATTGAGCAAAAAGTGGAAGAGCAGAGCCCAAACACATGCAGTTGAAGCAACTGCTGGGAACGGAAGTTCGTACATGTAATTCTTATATGTCGAAAAGCGGATCACCACTTCATAATGCAGTTGCTGAAAGTGTGAATCGATTTTTTACCGGTTTTAATATTCATATGCAGCAGGAGAGAGAGAGTAGAAAATGATTTACTTGTTCCGTTTCAGTATTTCTTTATTAGCTGAAAGCTAGGTTCTATGTTAGTTATATAATACAAAAGTTAGTGCAGATGAAGTGGTTTAAATAGGAAGCAAAATCCCATGTTGATCAGGGTTCGAATTACAGTTTTGCAACTTTGAATCGGTAACCCTAAAATGCGACAGTCTCCAGTAAACAAAGGGCTGGTCTTATGACGGGGTCTGATCATCTACAGATCCCTTTGAACCTTCATACTAAGGAACAGTAGGCCCTTATAACTCAGGGTGACTAGTAGAGAGTGAAAGATTATCTTGGCAGGTCACAGACTTGACAAAGTGGTCATTACAGAGCGAGTAAATGACCGCCATGTTTTTCATGTAAAACTAACCAATTTGAAAGCGTTGGACTGGTTGCTTTTTAGCTGTTCCCTTTGGGATTCATATTCTTTTTTGGTGGATTTGACAGGGATGCTTTTTTAAACCAAAAGGTGATACACCCTGAATGGAGCTTTTTGTGAAAGAGCATCCACGTCCGAAGGAGATAGAATGCTTTTCCCGATGAGGACAACTCAACGATACTCCATGATGTGTACTGGTATCTGAATAGATTGTGTAGGCTTATCTGCTTACACTTCAGTTAAAATTGCAGACTGGTCATCACGCGGAATAAAATATGCAGTTTTATATGGCATGCATAGTGAGGAATGCCGTCGAAGTTTGTTCAATGTGCGAAAATTCTGACGCAATTCACTTGTGACCTGTTTCTTATTGGTTAGGTAGGGTACAGAGGAATTCTTATAAATGGTAATATGAGAAGGCAGATGCCAAAATGAGATGTGTGTGAACGGCTGGGAACGACCAGATAATAGATCGAGGTGCAGTGGATGAAAAGGATGGTCTAGAATCTTACTGGCAAATTTAACACAAGAGTTGATCTGATCTGTGATTAATGAATCAATAGGGGGTAATGATGCAAGACTGATAATCACCAAACCACAAAGAATGATTTTGAAGTCTTTTTTAAAGGGCCGGGAAACACTACAGGGGAGCAATAAAGTAGAATGGGTAAAACACATCGGTGAACGAAAGAGGACAGGATTGACTGTGGGGTTCGGAATTGCCCGAGTTTGCGTACCTGAAAAGAAGCGGCTCGGTTTTCCCATACAATGGTAAATGTGTGTGGACAGCCGAAGATTACTGTACATGGTGACACCCAGGTACTTGAATGAGGTCATTCCGAACACGAGCTTACATTTAAGGGTAGCAGAGTCAGCTGGAACTGAGGAGTAGGAAAGATTGAAGATATACTCTACGCAGTGTTGTGCTGATCTAGGGGCGTGAAAAACGTCTCACCCCAATGCCTCTCCCCTTCAATCAATCACCGTGACTTTTAAATGAGTGAATGACTCCCCGTTCAAACATGCCATGTCCTTATTTGATCTGTACAGGCTAGAAGATGAATCAATGAAAACAACTGTTCGCCTCTGAATGTGTTCTCATGTCAAAATGGGCATATTCTGCAATTAGATGTGTTAAAACTAAGATCAGATTGGTTGGAAAACTGTTGGATGTGGGATAGATTCTCAGCGAGAGTCGAATGTCGAAGGAGATGAAATTTTCTGACACAAACTGACGTCATCAGCATACTTTTGGATGTATGCAAGGGGCGGGACCGAAAGATCACTAATAAACACAAAGAAAACATATCGGGAAAAAATAACATGAGGAAGCACTCCACAGTTATAAACAAGAGATTTTAATGTCCCCCTTCCCAATTCGGTGCTCCAGACTATCCCTGTGAACTAGTCAGAAAGCCAGTGGAGTAGCTGTCTCAAAGCGTAAGCTTAGTACGATATTTTAATGAAGCTTATTAACTTTGATATATTTAGCGAATCCTTGGTCATGTACTTGAAATTCTCATACAAATCCGACCAGAATTGTACTACCTTGTTCCCGAGCTGTGCAAAGCGACTCCATTGTTATTATTACTGTGACTTGCATACAACCTCCGTAGTGGTCTGAATGACCACTTAAATATGGTTCATCCACAGTGCACATTGCAAGAAGAACAGGGTCAGTAATCAACGTATAAGTGTATAGTAATTCCCCGCTTACATTTAACCCTGGATGGTGGGATAGAAGCAGCACGCGGAGTACCATAAATGTGCTTGTTACAGGCTATCTAGCAAAAGTTGTTGCAATGATTATCTTTGCGCTCTCAAATCCTGCGAGGAAACAGATAAACATAGCGAAAATAGGCAAGATATACAAAACCACAGTGAAAAGGATCACATGCAGAGACAGAATGAGAGAGGATAAGCGGGTAGATATCTGGTTACACACACACATATATATATATATATATGTATGTACATATATATGTATATATATATCGATAAAGAGAGCGGGGGGGGGGCAACTGACGGACTGGAACCTAAACCGATGCAACTGCAAGTAGTGAAAATTGAATTGTAACATGATGCAATAAGTGGCGAACAATCGCTTTTCCAGTGATTCGTGAACATGCCAATACATTGCAACACATCAGTAACTAAACAGAATTGTTCTGGAAAAGGGAAAATGCATATCACAGATTATTTGGGTGTAACTTTTTTTTTCTTGAAATCAGGCACGGAAATGATCACATAATTGTTCATCCGATCATCGAGACCACTCGGGATGTCGGTGCAGGCCATGTGAGCGTAATGGGCTGCAAAAACTGGTTTGGGGTATACAGAAGGGAGTTGTGCAGACGAATGCCTACCGTTTTGGCTTGGATGTGTTGACAAGATAAGAAATCGCCAACAATGAGTTTTTTTATCCTGTGTTCTATTTGCACTATGCTCTATGGGACTGTTTCACAAACTAAAATCACACCTGGACAAGTTATCGCAAGTTCAAGTTTGTGGCAGTTGAGTGAGAGGACGAATTAAGTTCTCGTTCCAGAACATGCGAACTCATGAATATCGGGGTCAAAAGCACAAGTCACTGTAAAAACCAAACAGCTACCTAACGCGCTCAAGAGGACCGACAAAGATAGAAGTCGTTCTCCAGCTGATGAATCCTGGCCATTATTTGATTGGGAATCAGGTCCAACGGTGAGTGCAGAAGGAAAAGCAAAACTAGCAATCATAAAATTCTCATAGACAAATCTAGTAACACTGTCACTGTATTCTTTGAAAATCAATGGATAGGTTTGGTGTAACTCACCTATGTATTTACAGGGCTTTTCCACGCTTGCACTCGGTACAAATGGGAATAGACCAAACAGATATCTTGTGAAAGAGAGATGGGAGACTACACTGACCTCGCCACACAGACTGATGTATATGCACGGAAAGCTCAAATGACACAGAGTGTACTTCATCACTTGGTCGACCAGAACAAAATGCTTGTCCCATTTTATTGTCCCAATATAATCCCAGTGTTGTGACATACTACTCACTTGTGATTAAAAATAGAACAAGACCATCAAGGACCAAGTAATATGTTTGGGAAGAATAAACACTGTCTGCTTTACATATTATCCTGTGTCGGAGAAAATTGCGATGGCATGTTTCTGATAAGGTTTTCGTGTTATGCATGCAAAATTAGTGACATTCAATCTGTATTCTGCAATAAACAACTCTCCTCGACCAGCACCGCCTTTTGGGAATTTAACACTAGTAGTACACGTACGGTTAAGTTGAATGAGAAGTAACCGGTAGATGGGCTCTCAATGAACAGACAAATGCGGTCAACTGCGTTGAACAACGGAGATTCAAAGCGAGCAACTCACTATCTGAACTGTCCACAGATTTGATCAATTCACCACAGCAGTTCACACTCATGAAGCTCATCAGAATTATTTAACGCTTAATCGATACACACACACACGCTTGCAAACGGGTACCCACACACGCACACACACACGAGAGCGAGAAAACCCCCGTTCTGTCAGGCAGACGTGCGGCGCTCACGCACACAACCCACGGTGGCCAGAAAAGATGGATCGTAACTGGCGTCCGCTATCACCGTGTTCAACGCACAAAATCCAGCTTTAATTTCAACGAGATAAAATATATCAGTGTCAAAACGAGCTTTGTATTAGACAATGGCAAACTGCCCACACCTCAATGATGAACGTGCTGACAAAATGGGAAACGATGAAATCCGAGGGGGGAGGGATCACCGGGATAAATAAATTGCACGGGTGGATGTACGTGCGACGATCAACGTGATGATGAAAAAGACGGGGTGTGCTAGTAGTTTGTAAACAAGCAACACTCCCAGGAGACTCAGCGACATTGTATCGATTAAACACTCAAATGAATAGGTCCAGTGAAGAATAGTAATTAGGTCGAGAGCAACTGAATGCACATCCGATGATGATGAGACAAAATTGAAGTATTGATATTGCGAACAATATACATTGTAAAAACACATCGGCTGCTATTACATTTCAAATTACATAACAATTGGAGCCCCAAATATACAGATTTCTCTCACGATCAGCTGCGCTATTTTCGAATCAGTCACTGTGACCAGTTTGCTCGTGAGCGCCAAAACAAATTGCACACCAACTTCAATCACTACTCAAGATTTTTGGGTAATATCAAACAGTTGTTGAATGCTAATTAAAAAAAGCAACGGCTGACGTCGACCATTTCATCCCACTTATGGTTTGTTAATCAATTGAAGGATTTTTCTGCATTTTACTGATATGGTATTCGATGAGAATCATTCGAGACTTCCAAACCTACTAACGTACTAGCTACAACAGTGCAGGCAAGACAACAAACCAACACAGAAAAAAATGAGTATGCAGAATCAGTTGAACAACTGACGCTCATAAGCTATGTAGTCTATTGTGTCTCGAACTCTTAGGTCAGGCCAAACTAAATTCCAGCAAGTCAACACAGGTTCAACACAGAGGAACACTAGTCTTTGGAATTCGATCTCCTCACAGACTGGTACTGTGACTAGTATTATTCCAACCAAGGCAAATGAGGTCACTGTGGTAGACATGGCCCACATGCAAATCGTGGAACGTTTTACTTTTTATAAAGATTATTGTACCGCGATTTATTTGGCACACAGTCTGAACTCAGACGTGTGATATATATATATATATATATATATATATATATATATATATATATATATATATATATATATCGTAGACAAAGACCCAATGGTGTAAAAGCACAAGAGACTGTTAAACGTTCCAGGATTTGTAGATTACAGATAACAAAGCCTGTCAGTCTTTTTATCCTGCACACTATGTGGGATAATTGCAGTTTGAACAGTGGAACCACTTGGTGTGTGCGAGAAAGATTACAGAACTAGACATGTCAATCCACGTGTGGCGGTGTTAGAAAAAGCTGACCGAAGATAATTGGATGGAAGTGGCACATGACGAACAGCCACAGTGAAACTTGACCTGCGCACGTTGTTTGCGTAAACAAAATACAATGGAGGACTGGTATACATGGGGTCCGAGTGCGCGCAAACATATGCGTATGCACTAATCAAATTCCCACGCAAGTGGACAGCATTAGATACCAATCGAATGAAAACTGTGATTGTGGCTTGACACAGATGATGCCTGAACTAACTGAGGACGGGTGAAACAGGCCCTACGAGCACCGATAAGTACGCAAGAAAGTAATATCCATTGTTCTATAATTAAAGCTTTGATCTATGCCGGACCAGTGGAAGTTGTGGGACAATCCGGAAAATGCATCAGGGTAGAGATGTAAAACATGAGTTGATAGGCGTCAAATTACTGGGAGGACCTGAAGTATCAACAACAACAACCTGATTCACAGTCATCACACAGCAACCCGCGTTCAAATCTCACTGCTCAGTCACAATTTCCCTAGTTCGTTTACACACAACGACATGTTATGAATGTAAAAAGAAAGAAAGCAAATGCAACACAATTTGACACTAACCATAAGTATTGCGTGTTCTTAAACTACTCAAATTAAACTGAGAGACAGAACAACCAGAATAGCATGTATGAAGATTTTCATGCTCAAAGTAGAATAAGTGAAAAAGCTTTACTAGTGGCATCATTATCGAAATTACCTGGAATTGAGAGAATGGGTGATTTGTCTAGAGCATGTAAGATATGTATATATCACAAACGTTAGAACAGGCACAGAGCTAACGCGAAAACAACATTAATAACAATCAAAACAAATATTTCAGGAAATAAACTTGAACAAAGAACACAACAGTGCAATTGAGCACAATGTACTTCCGAAATCATTTTGCTACAGTTCAGCAGGTGCTTACTGCGGAAAACGAAATGGCTTATATATCACAGATAATGATAGTATGATATAGTACCAATTCACTCTTCCGGTTACGTAGTTACCAGGGCACTGTCCGACTGATACAGACCTCCTTCGGCTGACAAAGCAGGGGTAATTGGCACTTAATTGCTAAAGCCTCTGCAAATCTAACTGTCTATTCGGGATAATATGTTCGGATAATATCCTAGGAAAACTAACAGTTTGATACTACGGCACACAACAGTCAAGTATCACAAAATACTGTCTGGCATGACTATTATTCACTGATCTCCAGTACAAAGGAAGGGCGAATAGGCCGTGTCCGACTATATTCCACGACAATCAGTCAATTCAAATCAATGTCTAGGCTTTATGCTACCATGTTGAGTGAATTTACAGCTTTCTACATTGTTATTACTACGAATATGCGGAATAAAATTTAAGTGGAACAAGAAAATATTACCGTAAGACTGTCTGGAATTTAACACTCAATATTTCACCCGAAATTTCCATAGCTAGTAGGCTTGTTCTCCACAAAGCGACTGTTTATGATATCCAATCCCACCATCCAGTCTGCAAACACTGATTGGGTTAGCCAAGCGTTACCCAAAAAGGAAGATCTTGAGAATGCGGTGATCCAACATCGCTAACGATGCCTTTTGTGAATGGAGAATAATCTCGTATAATCAGCAAGCATAAGGTCTAACAGGCTACATTCCAAGTTTCGAAAGTCAACAATGCACTCTTACGCTCAGAGTGAAGTCAACCGATCAAGCCGGCTTATTCAAAATACGTAGCGACAAAAGGAGAGGGGTCGTTGAGGTGAAGAAAACGTTCTGATTTGGACGCGCACAAGAACTCCGGAAGTTCAGGTACGAATTATGAAGTTGTATTGTAGATGTCAGGGACAACAACAATCGGACGGAATTCGCTGAAAAAGCTCGTTCGTGATATTGCTAATGCACAGTAAGCGAAAATGATCTGGACCGAATTGCACTAACTGGGACGAATGTAGGTGATGACACCGCCCCAAATTCGTCGACTCCGAGCGTGGTCTAGGCGACGTAAGCTACACATTAGTTCAATCAGAGTATTTCCAATGAGACAACGTAATTGTTTACAACAAAATTGCCATAACAGTGTGGAAAAATTGAACAAGGTAATTGTGGAACAGCATAGCTGGCACGAGGAGGCCACTCGTGAGGAGTGCACTGTTTTAAATTATCGGGTATCGGATTGCGATCACTTACACCATACTCGATCCGACAACTTTGAGTTGAATATCTTTGAATCTAACCGCATTGTTTAGTCGCAGAACAAGCGGACCCAACGCAGACTGTTTGATCAATTGCTCAATAGCGATTCGTGGAAAAGCCAGGGTCAGTTCGCCGGATACTGCTTGGATTGGTGGAGGAGTGATCATAGCCGCAGTGGAGAAAGAACTCCCACCACCGTTGTGAAACCGTGCTCGCCAAGTCTCGGTAAATGCCGCGGCCACCGAAATCGGTCCGGGTTGGCTCGGGACACCATGATTCCATGGTGCAATTGCGGCCGTATTGTACGATGGGATTGGCATAATGCTACCACTACCCTGTTTGCCGGAGGTTTTGCTGTCTGTATG